TCAAAACTGATAAATATACTTAGTAAATTACCAAAATATAAAATTAACATACAAGTATAAATTATGGTTCCATCCACTCAAAACAAACTATCTGATAAAACAGAGGAAGAAAACAATGCTATTTATAATAGCATTAAAATAATATATTCTTGAGAACAAATTAAACCAAGGAGGTAAATAAAATTTACAATGAAAGATATTAAAGACACAAATAAATTTTAAAATATTTTATGAATATGGATTGAAGCAGTAAATATTGGTAAAGTGCCATGTTTTCCAAAGTGATCTATAGATTCAATAAACTCCCTATTGAAAGTCCAGTGGCATTATTTTTACAGTAATGAAAAATATAATTCTAAAATTTACATGAAACTACAATAAGCTTTGAAGAGCCAAAGCAATTTTGTGAAAAAAAGAAAAAAGCAGAAGAACATCATAGTTTACAATTTCAAACTATATTTCAAGACTATAGTAATAAAAACAGAATGGAATGTGCAGAAAAATGAACAAATAAATTTTTAAAAACCCAATGGAACAGAAACCACTACTCACACATTTCAGATATGATGCAAAAAATAAACTTAAGAAACAGTTTAACATAGAGGTTTTCAAAATTATGCAGATATATGTGTCCCCCAAAACAAAAGAGTCAGATTGTGCAGTCTCTTATATGCCATGAAAAGAATTTTGGCTCTCACTGTGAACTTGAAGGAAGATCACTGAAGGGAAAGCAGAATCCTTAGAGAATTTAAAAGCATAAGACAGAAGACACCCCTATGTAAGAGCAAAAGAAAAAAAAAAACACTCAGGTTTCCAGAAAGTATTTCCTTTGGAATACAGCTACCCAAATCACATGTTAAGGACTGGCTTTTTCTTTGACCTTTGACCTTTAATCTTTGTCATCTGTTGTATCCACTTTCACTCTCACCTACCTGGGGGCCTGGCTACCATCTCATGTCTTTTTATACTCCAGGGCTCTTTTTTTTGCTCCAGACAGGTGATCAGATATGGCTTAGAGACAGCAATACCTGTTTTATTAAAAATAAATAACATGAATCTTAATCATATTCTCCAATTACCAATCCAGTAAGGTGCTCAGTAAAGAGGATGTAATAGAATAAATACTAATTTATAACATAAATTTCTAAATATTTAGAAAATATTTTAAATGTGTAGGTTTTAAATTTTACTATCTGGTACTATTGAATCAAAAATTGGTGTCAGAAATTAGATTTAAAGGCATGGACAACAATATTGCATGCCACTAAATTTCTGGAATTATCACTAATCTAGAGTGAAAAATACAGATTAGCTCACTAATGTGAAAAGCTCAGGTCAAAATGAAACATCTTGAAGGAATTATTTTCTACACAAATCTCAAAGATTTTCTTGAAAACAGAGATCTGAAACTCATTTATGCAAAGCATAAATTACCAGAAAACAGTCTACAAAAATAGAGAAATAAAACTTTAAGGGTATTTTAGGAATTGTGTATTGAAGTTATCCTCACCCAAAAAGACCAGGTTTCTGTAGTTCTCTAACAACACATTCCTATATAAATCCCGCTGTGCAGTATCCAGGCATTGCCACTCCTCCAGAGAGAATTCTATGGCCACATCTTTAAATGTCAATGGTTCCTGAAAAACACAAACACACACACACTTACCAAGTGGCCATGAGCTGTCACTGAATTTTTTTTAAATGTATAGGATAGCCGGGTATGGTGGTTCATGCCTGTAATCCCAGCACTTTGGGATGGCAAGGTGGGCAAATCACGAGGTCAAGAAATCGAGACCATCCTGGCCAACATGGTGAAACTCCGTCTCTACTGAAAATATAAAAATTAGGCCGAGCATGGTGGCTCACGCCTGTAATCCCAGCACTTTAGGAGGCAGAGGCAGATCACCAGAAATTGGGAGTTCAAGACCAGCCTGATCAACATGGAGAAACCCCGTCTCTACTAAAAATACAAAATTAGCAGGGTGCAGTGGCGCATGCCTGTAATCCCAGCTATTCGGGAGGCTGAGGCAGGAGAATTGCTTGAACCCGGGAGGCAGAGGTTGCAGTGAGCTGAGATCACTCCACTGCACTCCAGTCTGGCAACAGAGTGAGACTCTGTCTCAAAAAATAAAAAAATGTATAGAATAAAAAAAGTATGCTAAATACAGACAGATGAGAGGGCTACGGATAAGAACAGTTTAACATGGTTTAGAGAAGTTTTCATTGTGTTTATATTTACTGTTTTGTGACTTGTGGGAAACTACTGGATCCGCAGGAATAGAAAACATGTTGCTAAATGGAATGTCTCTGCAAGCACTGGTTTAATAAAAAATTTTAAAAATTAGGACTCTAAAATGCATACTTTTTTTTCCCATTTATCTCCTTGTGGAATTCGGAAATTGTTAGCACCCACTCTAGAAAGGCACCAGCCAAAGCTCTGTTCTCTTCTTATCAGTTCTGTGAGGCAAGACTCCAGGGTGGGGCCAGACCTAAATAAGGCCTCCAAAAAGGGTGAATCTGAACAGAACTGGAGCTGGGAGTAAACCCTATATATTACTCTGCTCACCCCATCAACTGTATAAATATACTAATTAGCCATTTAAACAAATCTCCTAGGGTTTTCTAGGGTAATTTTAAGATAAATACGCATTCTTAGCAAAGTAAAAGAAATAAAAATATTTAAAACTCTTGGGTCCATAAACATTCATTCAAATGATGACCTCAGAAGTCACAACAATATAAAGAAAGTGGCCCAAATAAAGCCCACACGTTTTTCCACACATCTATTCACTTTGCCAACCATATGATGCTTAATTCAACCATGTATTCACTTGCTAGTCTAGACTAACTGTTCCTAGATGGTAGGGACCATGACTGCTTTATCTATTTTTCTAATGGCCATATGAAATGGCAGCAATTAGTTTATCTGCTTGAGTCTCCAGACCTCCTCCTTGTTTTTTACCCAACTACCAGGAAACTGGAAAACTCTCAACTAGATACCAACCAAAGACATCTCTTGTATGAGGGGAGGAGCAAACACAGGATGACTCATTTCTCTTACACTGAGACAGAGGCACAATTAACCACTCTTGTCAACCTGACACAATTCTGCTCTGGACATCCTCAAATATCTCAAAGATGCCTAGGTGATTGTAAGAGAGTTCCCAGTGACCCTGGGCTGATGGCCCAAGGATAAGGCAGGCAGGAGAGACTCAGGCTGATTCTAAATAGAAAATCGAACTGCCGCAGTGGAGCTCCAGATTACGGGTCCTGATTAGCTAGCTCTTGGGCAAAAGGAAAGACAAAAATACTCTACTCCAGTATTACATTTTATGGGTAGGTATAATTGTGATCATGACTCTCAATACTTTGTGGCCTTCATCTCTCACCCCTAAGATGCTTGTTTACTCTTACAGAATCTGTCATCAGATTCTATTTACACCTGGACCCTCTCACATAACTGTAGCAAGTCACTGAACACGATCTGAAAAGTTTTAAGAGCAACACTCTCAAAGGGAAGCTTTAAGACGTCTATGTTGACATCTCACAATGCAGAAAATGCCTCCTGTTGGTTTCCTATACATTCTCAATCCAGAGTCTGGCCCTGTCTTGTAAATTCCAGGTAGAGGCCAGACCTTACAGATTCTAGGTGGGATCAGCCTGCTTCTGCATTCTTGGGTGTTACAGCAAGTAGAGTACAACCAAAGGAGAGATTGCCTCATAGGGGCTGCTCTAGCACATTCTAAATAATACATCTACTTGAAAGGAAAAAGCTGAAGCTACATGAATATAAGTAGAGAATTTATTTGGGCCAAGATTGGGAATTGTAACCAGGGATCAAAGATTCAAGTTGCCAGGAATCTACACTTTGATTAGCGCAGTTACAAGTGGATTTGTAAAGGCAAAAAGAGAGGGACAGAGAGTGGGCTGATACAAAGTTGCCTGTCAGAAACTCTCATTTGTTTACAAAAAAAAAACATTGATTATCGATTGGATATACATTGTTAAGCTATAGGGTGTGGGTTACAGGATCCAGTGTGTCATTATTAATTTAAATTTATAGCTACTTGTGGCAATAGCAAGCAGTTTCAAGAGATAAATTCATAGCTCAAAGAACAGAGAAATACATAATTGTGGTATTATTTTAATGTATCTGAACCTTGTAACTAAAAGAATTTGCATTTCTCAAATAAAAGGTTTTCTTTTTTCCCAAATCTTAAGTCCCTGATTCAGAATTTGGAGCTGCAAATTTAGTTCCTAGGTGGGTGCAGTAGCAGTAGGTGTCATCCACACATTTGTGGGTATTTTAAGAAGAGGAAGAAGGGGTTGGGTGTGGTGGCTCATACCTGTAACCCCAGCACTTTGGGAGGCCGAGGCAGGCCGATCACCTGAGGTCACGAGTTTGAGACCAGCCTGGCCAACATGGTGAAACCCCCCC